GCGAAAGGAGAATGTCCTGTCCACTTGTGTTTTTTTGTCTCCTCCACTCTACTTGTCAGAGGGTTGTCCATCTAATTTCCCGTGTTTCAAGCAATATGCTCCTTTTTATTTTTATAGTTAAAAATGTTTGTGCTTTCAGGAACCTCTCTCTCTGTCATACATCAGTTTGAGGACAGTCTTCCATCATCCTGTATTTCTCTTCTCCCCTTTCATTTGATATCCATCCTTTCCTTCTGCACTGACTTTCTCGAGTTTGTCTTCTTCCTCGTGACCTTTCTCCAGAACGTCCCGTTGTCTACGGACTGTCTTGCGGTGTTGAGTGCGGACTCTGGGCCGCCGGGCGTGACCCTTCTGATCAGAGGTCCTCCCTCGCGCTGCTCAGTTTTCACACAGGTTTCCTCCAGTCCCGGAGAAGCAGCGGTGAGTCTTCCCGAGTGCACGGATCAGACCTGCCCCCCACCCCCACCCCAACACACACACGGAATGTCTTGTTTCCTTTTTGCTGTGATTCTGTGTAACACAGAGGTAACACCTTCGAGTCCTTAGAACATGGTGCCCCTTCTTTTGGGCGGCCATATGTTTCCAAAGTTCAGGTGATTTTGCTTTTCTGGCAAAGAACTGTCAGGGAAGACCAGATCACATTCCTTTAGAGATCAGAGTGAGTCTCTGCCCAAAGAGAAGAAGTACCGTCGGGGATGGGGGTGTGCTGTCCCAATCCAGGCCACAGCTGATGGGGTGAGTGGCGAGGAGGTGATGTGCCGCGCTAATAGGTGGGCTGCCTCCCACCTGCTGGCCCCGGGGCTGCGGGGCCAGGGCGCTCAGCAGGCCCCCAGCAGCGCCCCGGCTGCCCCACCTCCGCCTCTCCCCCGGCCACTGCCTCCTGCTTTCTCTGTTGATTCGTCTCTCTCCTCCTACTCTCTTCGGCTGGGATTCCTTGGGGGTTCTGGCGGTGAGTAGCGAACACCCTTGGCCTGGGGCCGTCTCATTCTCTCGAACACCCTTGGCCTGGGGCCGTCTCATTCTCTCGCTTCTACACGGCCAGGGGTCATCTGAATGCAGACTTCCCAGACCCCACCTGTCCAGAAGTTCGCCGCCTTTGAGCGAGAAAACAACATTATAAACATGTAAAACAACATTAGAAATTAGACATGATATATAACGAATTACTAAGGGGTCTATAAATAAGGGGTCTATAAGGGGCACGTTACAGTGATCAGCAGAGCTAGAGAGAGACACGCAGGATGCTCTTGAGGTTTAGAATGTGGTCTCTCTCTCTCTCTCTCTCTCGCTGGCCACGGTGAAGGGTGCTCCTGGCCATGCTCGTCAGTGTCTGTTATGTGAAGTAGTCCTTCAGAAGAACGGCTTATTGAGGTGCAGGTGATGTCGATCACTCTATCAGCTTCAGGTGCCCAGCGTAATGATTCCACACCTGTCCAGGCTGTGAAATGACCCCACCGGGAGTCCAGTAAACACCCATCACCTCACGTGGTCACACAGCTTTTCTTCTCATGGGGAGAACTGTGACGATCAGCTCGCTTAGCATCTTTCACACACACAGTGCCGCGCTGTCCGCCACAGTCTCCAGGCTGCACGTTGCCTCCCAGGACGCACGGGGTTTATCTGAGAGAATAAATAAAACGCCCCCATGTCGCTCCCTCCTTCTCTTCCCTTGCACTCTCGCCTCGCAGTCCAGCTCCCCGAACCGTCTCAGGGTCGATCTGGAAATGCCCTCCCCTGGGGAAGCATCGCCCCCCCCGTCGCTGACAGTGTGGAAGTCCCCACCACCACCAGCGGAGGTCCCATGTCCCATGGGAATTTGCTCTAAGCCCCGCCCCCCTGGAGAACGGAGCGATCTCGTTCAACAGCAGACGCGCTGTCCCAACCTGGGTGCCCAGCGGGGCACTCCCAGCCCAGGGGCCCTGACGTGTGACCCCCTGGGCCACTGGAAGGAGTAGCAGCGGAGGGCCGTGTCGGTGCCCTTCACTGTCACCAGACCACACCAGAGAGCTGGGCGAGGGCCCGGTGGGGACCGTGGCCCCACACAGCCGTGAGCGGGTCGTCTGGATTGCGTTCTAGGGCAGAAGTGGTAGAAGACGGCTCAGTCGGGGAAGCTTCACTCTGAACATTTTACATGAAGGAGTGGGTGTGTGTATGTATGGGCACATGATGTATCTGTATCTGCACATGTGTGTACATGCACCTGTGCGTACAGGTGTGTACATGTGTATGCGATTAGGACCAGACTGGAGTGCAGCTGCAGGTGGGGAGCGCCCGCCTCCACCTCCCGCAGACCCCCCAGCACTCCATGGCGTGCAGTTTGGAATGACTGCTCCCCAGGGGAGTGGGGGAGGGGGCCAGGGGAGGGCGGTTTCCCTGGAAGGTCTAACAGATTCAGCCCCAGGGACGCCGTGTCTGCCCCGTGCACCGGAGACGCTGAGATGCGGTTACCAAGGGCAAAGCGCCCTGTCTTCCTATTATTGTACCCGCCTTGAATTCGGACCCACTGAGTCTTGTGGAGCTGCTTCTCAGTTTCAGTGTTTCTGGGACATCTTTGAGAAAGTCCTAAATGGCCTTCCTGTCCTGCGCGCCTATCTCTGCCCCGCTCCCTGGGACTCGGGGCTCTCTCCGTCTGCAGGCTGACGTGTGCACCCTGCTCAACCCCCTTCCACAGACCAGCCGCCCTCAGCCAAAGGAGAGGCCGTTTGTGCCCCGCCTTCGTTTGCATATCTGCAGGAGGAAGTGTCACTGGGACTAGGCGGGACAGATAAGAGCACAGCAGGGTTCCAGGGATCTGGCTTGCGTTTGGCAGGCTCTGCAAAAGCGCGTGGAGGCTGGAGGTGGGGGGCTGGGGGAGCTGGGCTGGGGTCCTGGGGTGGCTCTCTGTCTCCCAGGACCTCCCCATGTGGTCAGTTGGCAGCAGAGAGTCACCCCTGCCAGCTCTGATGAAAAGCCAACTGTGATGTCCGTTCAGGCTCTTGAAGGGGCGGGAATTCAAGAGAAACCTGACCCCATCCACAACATTCTCCAAAACTCTCTGTAAACATCCATTCATTCAAAAGCCCGTTCGAGACCGTAAAATTGCCCACACAAAGTTGTAAAACTTCTACACAGCTTAAAAAGCGAACAACACTTCCCAATGAAGTCAATAAACACTATTGCAAATAAGTGATTCTGAAATATATTGTAGGAGGTATCGGTCTCACTAATAAATAAGCAAAAGGTTTTTTTTTAAAGTGCCCGAGACATGAAAAGGAATTCACAGAAAAAAGAAATACAACCTTTTTCATAAAGCAAGCTGTCATTTATCATCTGTCCCCTTTGCCTCTCCGATTGAAATGTCTGATAACAGCCTGCAGGCAGGGTGTGGAGAAAGAGACACTTTCACATCCGGTCGGCTGACTCCGCCCCCCCCCCGCCGGCCCGGGAAGGCCAATGTCGGTCTGCGCCAGAACCCGGCGGTCCCTCAGCCCAGCTGTTCTCTTTCGAGTGTTCAGTGTGTTCAGGAAGGGGCGGGGAGGGGCTAGTCCAGAGGCTTTTCATACATTCATGTACCTCAGTCTACTCGGCACCGGGGTAGATGGAGTGCGGTGTCGTTGACCCCGGTTTACCGACGGAAACTAAAACTCTGAACTCAGGAACTCACGTGCGTTCTAGGAAAGAGATGTTCGCTGCTCCTCTCGTTGTAATAGTAAAGAGCTAAAAACAGCTGCCTGTCCATCCCCAGGGTCTAGTCAAGCAGAAAGTGGTACAGCCACGAGGTGGCCGGTGACTGGGGAACACTTGCGTACAGTGGGCACCGTGTGATGTTATTTGCGTTTAGAAAGACGTGCGTGGGTAAGTTTGAGTGCATGCTTAAAGGCCCTGGAATGATTTACAAAAAGGAGCAGTAAACCTAAGAAGCAGGACTCACAGGAAAAGGGGAAGAAGACGGTTGTTTTTATTGTCTATCTTTCTGGACAGTCTTAAAATTTTAAAACTAGTGCATAACTTTAAAGTCTAGTCCCACAATAACACAGACACGTGCTTAGTGACAGGCTGGGCATGCGAGAAAGCCTCCCCCCCGAAAGTGAGATTTTTGTGATGCAGTATTCACTGCCTTGATCAGAGAAATAAAAGTATTTGCCAGTCTGAGTATGGGCCTGCCTGGGGCCTCCGCAGGGGTGGAGTTTCGAGGTTCACCAGAATCTCACGTGGGGAAAAGAGGGGGAGAATGTGGGGAGGGAGAACAGACCGGCCGTTTCAGCTCGGAGCCTAAAGCCCAAACCCTGAAGCCCCAGCGGCCCCCGGGCCCAGCCCGACCCCCCACCACCATGCTCCTCCCCCAGGGGCTCCCACTGGACTCTCCCCTGACTCCCAGAAGTTTCAGGAAAGTGAAAAGTGGCTCCTCCTCCACACGTGGGAGACCCTGCACCTAAGGAGTCTCTAGAAAGAGAAGAGAACCCAGGGCCTGGCTCTTCCCCAGGAGACGCCAGCCTGAGGCTCCCTCTGCAGCCGCTGGGAAAACCCAGGCCCCTGACGGGTTTGGGGCCCGGGAGGAGGTCACTGGGCGGGCGTGGGGGAGACTCCGCCGGAGGGAGGCACTCCAGCCGGAGCTGAGCCAGCCTCTCCTTGGCCGGGGCGGCCCCTCTCTGTGGCTGTGCGTGACACCCACTGGGCTTGTCCCCGCCTTGATGAGCCGCACCGCGCCAGGAGCCTCATTTCTATCTGACGCACCCGCTCTGGCTCTGTCCTCTGGCCGCGTGCCAGCTCAGAGGTGGAGGGAGCCCTCCCTGCGGGCCGCCTGCCTTAGCTCAGACCCCGGGGCCTTCACACCAAGGTCGGTCATGCCTGGGAGAGCCCTCCCGCCCCAGATGTCAGGACGGAGCTCCCCCTCGGCGCAGCTGGCTCCAAAGTCCGGAGACTTCATGCTCCGGATCCCCGAGCTGTGTCAGGGATCGTCACTTGGGTTACCTGAAGAATGTTCCCGTGTGGGTTCTAACAACGTCTTTGTTCTCTCCCAGGTATCGGAACTGCGTTTATACCTACCGGATCCTGCCCAATGAAGAGGACAAATTCACTGTCCAGGTAAGCCTCTAGCGCGCCTCCTGACCTCACCTGGCGGGAGCCCGTGGTGGCGGAGACGGTGACAACGGGAAGAGGAGGAGCGGCGTGGGCCCCCCACGGAGCCCCGACAGGAAGGCCCGGCTGAGCCTGTTTCTCTCCTAGAGGTTCCGGGGGGGCGGGGCGGGGAGGGCTCTGCAGGGAGGCTGGCGCCACCAGGTGCCCCTGCTCTGGGACCTGATGGAGCAGACAGGAGGGGCGTTGTTTGTATTTGTGGGTGTGCAGGGGGGGCTGTGGTACAAGGACCCGGTGACGGAGGAAAGTCAGCCACTGTGGCGCGTCGGTCACTTCCTTCAGTGGCTGAACGGGGCGAGGGTCAGGGGACCCGGAAGGAGAGAAGGAGGGGAACTTGCAGGAGAATAGACCGGACTTTCCAGGGGGCTAGGCGGTTGCCCAGTGAGCACGAGATGGGACCTTTCCATCGGCAGAGACCTGTTTGTTGCACCGTGTGAAGGGCAACTGTGGGGAACCTGTTAAACGTTAGGGAAAAGCTAGCCTGCGCCACTCCAGGTGGGGAAGACCACCCTACGCCCAGCTGGTGTGACAAACACCAGGGCTGAGTGACCACAGCACATGACAGCTGAGTGACGTGGAGGCCAGGGGAGCTATTTTTGTCAGGCTGCGTTAAGAGAGCGGGGCGGGGGAGAGGGGCAGAAGGTGGAGGTGACACTGTCAGTGGGGGCAGAGGGGGCACATGCAGATCTCTGGGCTGTGGAGACAGGCACCCACAGGCCGAGCGCACCCATGCGGCGACCAGAGCAGCCAGGCGAGCCACCAGTGGGGACACCGTGTCATGGAGGAGCAGCCATGGGGTCCTGTGGGGTTTAGTGGAAAAGAAAGTGAGGGTGGAAGGGACACTATCGCCGATTCTACGTGTGAAGAGGGTGATGCGTTTTGTGCAGGACTAAGAGGCAGTGGTGCAGACAGAGCCGGACTCCAGGTCAGGGCGGCGGGCGGGTCCCCGGGGCCCAAGGCGCTGGAGATGTATCAAGAGGGAGAAACTGTTTCATAGAATTCCTCTGGCGAGACTACATCTGGGGATCGGAGGGGTCGCTTGGATCAGTGGGCCACTTGGGACAGCGAGGAGGTCCAGGAGGGTCCCGTGAGCCAACCCAGGTGTCACCTGGGGCCTGGGGCCGAGTGCTGCGCGGCTCCCACGGGAGGTGCAAGTGCGGGCTCCAGCGGGATCGCTCCACCCCATCGGGGTCGGGCTGAGCACCGCTTCTGGCTTCTCTGTGCCTGCTGTCCCGGCCCCCGCTCCAGTGTCCGGAGCGCATCCATTTCCATGTGCTCAGCCAGTCCAGGTGCCTGCGTGACTCAGTCTGGTCACCAGAAACAAGCACTGGCCACCAGGTGCACGGCGGTCCTTCCAAGCACGCCGTGGCTGCCCACCGTTCAGACGGGGGTCTCTCGTGTGGGCGCCTCACCCTGCCGGGGACGTGGCCGCGGGGGCGGGCGGGGGGCCCTGCGTGGGGCAGGCCGTGGGCCCCAACGGCCTCCACGCTACCTTCCACGTCTAGGACTGCGTGGGCTTTCTCGGGGTGGCATCCCTGACAGGCGCTTTGCTGAAAGGAGTCTGAACTCTCTTAAGTTAAAAGTGGGTCGGTGCGTTTGATCTTTTCCCCCTTGTGGTTTGTTCTTTTCCTTCAAAGTGAAGAAGACTTGAAGTATGACTTGGCCTTAAGCTGGAAAAGACGTGACTTTGCGGCTTCCTGTCTAGAGTGTGCACCCGGGGAGGACTTGTGGATGGGAGACTGTGTCTGCCGTCTGTCTCCTCTCGGGTCCACTCGTCCTGTGGCCCTGGGAGTCGCAGCCAGTCCTGCAGCAGCTGCAGAATTGGGGGCATCCCTGAGTTAGGGGGGATCGCAAAGAACAGAGACTCCCCTTGGCTAACGCATGTAAGGGGCAGGCGGCCTTTGCGGAGATGCACAGGGCGAGTGGGGAGAAGGCCTGGGACCCGGACCCGGAGGGCGCGGGGTGGGTGCTCTGTGCGATTCTCCTCTCCCACTGGCAGACTCACTTCTCGGTTCCCCGTCCCCAGAGGGAGGCTGGTTGGCAACCCCCCAACGGCTTTTTCTGCGTGGGCCACGTGCAGGCCACGGGTCTGCGTACAAACAGGCTGTCTTGAAGCAGGTGCCCGCCCACCCCCTGGCCCTGGGGGTCGAGCTGTGGGGACAGAGGGTTGTTCCCTGAGGCCCACACTCAGCCAGGGTGACAGGCAGGCGGGTTCCCTGCGAGAGCTGTGGCCCTGCGGGGACGTGTCTGCCCCTCACCCCAGCACTGGGTCTGTGACCGCCTCGGTGGCCGACCCCGAGTAACCAACCAGGGACAGGGAGCTGTGGGGCCTGGGTCGCCCGAGGAAGCGTCCCCCACCGAGGTGCACCGCCCTGTAAGAACACAGCACCCCCCTGAAGTAAGGAGAGTGGATTTCTCCCCGAAGCAGATGGCAGCAGGGGCACAGCGAGACGGAGGTCGGAGGGCGCTTCGCCGGGGCCGCCGGTGGTGCCGACGCGAGTTCCTCTTTTCTTGTTGAGACGAAACCTCGTACCGTTTTCTCAGCTGAGCCAGTTTCTAAATAACTCATCCCTCACCTCCGAGTCTGCGAGGGCCACCAAAGACAACGCGGCTCCCCAGATAAGAAAGAACCCAGCGGCCTGAACCGCTGCCAAGTGCAGCACCCAAAGGCTTTCGTCGCTTTCTTATGTTAATTACCTCCGCTCTTCTCACGGGGGCTTCCCGGCCCGCCCGCCGGGTGAGAACCTGGGAGCCGCTGCATCCTGCACCCTCGCGCTCTGCAGAGCGGCCTCCGCGCAAGGGGGTTCCCCCTTTTCGGTTAGGAAGAGGAGGGTCCTGACCCTCGGTGACTTTATTCTCCTTCTACCTTCGCAGATCTACGAAAAATCAGAGGTGGGTGGGGAAGCTGTACACTGACTTCAGGCAAACCCTGCTTTAAGGATGGATGGAGCGGAGGCCTGCAGGAGGTGGTGGAGCCCACACCAGGTCTCCAGGCCTCCCCGCAGGGGTGTCCGCACCTGGCCGGGTGTTGGGTCCCCTGGGGAAGGGCGCACGCACTCTGCCCCAGGAGCGCAGGGAGGTAGGGCAACGTAGCCTGTCAAGGAGAGGGGCCCCTTGTCCTTCCCACGGAGAAGGTGACATTTGATCACGGGGGCATCGGTCCTTGTGGTAAGCTGGTAGGGACCTGGGACCGAGGCAGCCCCCTGCGCGCCCAGCTGGGGCAGTTGCAGATGTTGCCAGCTGTAGGTGTGGCCTTGGGTGAGGTCGCAAGTCCGCCGGAAAGTGGCAGTCACCCACGTGCCTCCCAGAACCCGTGTGACAGACCCAGCGCAGGCGGGTGGTCGGCATGCGGGGCCGCTGTCTTGGTTGTCCGCGACAAGGAGCAGGCGTCCAGCAAACCGTCTCGTCTGCTAACCCGTGTACGTGGGGTCTGCCGTGTGCGCAGGTGAGGGGAAGGAGCGATGGGGGAACCTGGGATGGAGAGAGAGAGGGAGGGAGAGAGACAATGGAGGGGGGGGGAAGAAAAGAACAGTGGAAAATACAGAGGAGGGGGGGCCAGAGGAAAGTCAGAGAGGAAGAAGAAGTGAAGGGAGACGAGGGAGGAGGGGAGTGCGTGAGGGTCATGGGGGTCGGGGGCAGTGCTGACAGAGCGATGGAAAGGGGCGTGGGGCGAGGAGACCCAGAGAAGGGGGGTGGGGCGGGGCGGGGGGCGGGCAATGCTCTGGAGGATTTGAGGCGGCCGCACCTGGGGCGGCAGACTCTGTGGCCGTCACACTCCCTCGCACCCTGCGCTGCGGGTTTCTGCGTCTCCGTGCCTGGGCAGCGTGCGGTGGTGTGAAGCTGTTGTTCGGCAGCTGCCTCGATCCTCGGGCCTGGAGAACCTTCTAGCCCGGGGGCCGAGACGGGACGTGAGCAGCCAGTCCACGGGGGTGGCAGTGCCCTGCAGTCCGGGTGAGGCCAGAAAGGCAGCCCCACCCGCCCCTCTGGCCTGAGCGTCCCACATGGGGTGGGGGGCGGGGAACAGGGTTGCTTGTCAAACCTGACCTCTTCCCTGACCCGGAACAGGGCAGTGACCCCGAGCGGGAATGCCGAGTCCAGGACCAGCTGTCGCGCTCCCACTGCCCGTTGAAATGACCTTCCCGGGGAGACTCAGGACAGTTTGCAGCCCCGATGGGCCAGCGGGAGGGTGGTTGAAGGGAGGCCTCGGGGCTGGCGAAGCGGCCTGCGGGCCTGTCCCGGAACTGGCCGCCCCACACCCAGGGTCTCAGTCCCCGTGAGTGGGGCCCTCTGAGAAGTGGGGCCCCTGCCCCCCCAAGTCACCAAGGCTCCATTCCTACCAGCCTTCCACCCCGGTTTTTTTCCCCTGACATCCTTCCGACCCAGAAGAACAGAGCAGCCAGGGCTCTGACTGTTGGAGTGAAGACAGGACCCTCTGCACAGGCTTTACCGCCAGTGGGGGATCGGGGGAGGGGGTGAGACTCTCTGACTCACGCTCTCAGCGTCCCCACCCCCACCCCGACCCCTGACTATGACACCCGGCCCCGAGGCGCGAGCCGCTCGGGTGAGCCACTCGTGACTCAGTTCCTGTCCCCTGACGGTGGCTGTTACGTAGCTCTGGGCAGTGTGGCTTCCAGAGAGAGACGAGAAAACAACTTTCTGCAGGCCGTTCCGTCACAGGGCTCCGGCGGGTAAACGGCTCAGCCATTGTTATGAAGCTCAGGAAGAGCGTGGCGGCTGTGACTGTGCCCAGTGGTCACCGAGTGAGGCGCAGACTCCGCCGGAGCCGCCGGGGGGAGGATGTGGTGCTAGCTAGCGCACACTTCCTGGCGTTGCACAAGCGGGGACAGGAGAGGCTCGGGCGACAGACGCCACGCAGGGCCAGGGCGGCCACGCAGGGCTGCAGGGCGTGGCGGGGGCAGGGGACCCGGCGGGGGGCCCCTGGTGGCCCA